TTAAAAGCCTTTGAGATATCAACCTGAAACATCAAAGGTGGATAGGTCTCATTGACGAGGAGTGCAGCACACAAGAATGATATCTCAACCCTGCATATTTTACAGTTATGGCCCTTTGTTATTTTTCATGCTTAATTTTTGTCCAGAGCATTACTATAAAAGCCTTTGAGATATCAACTTGAAACTTCATAGGTGGATAGATTTCATTGTGAAGTAATGCAGCACACAAGAATGATAACCTACCCTGCATATTTCAGTTATGGCCCTTTGTTATTTTCAGCCATAAGTATTCACATAGGTTTCAAATTTGTAATCACTTCAGCCATCAATTTTCTTTTCTAAAAGACCTCTTAAAATTAAATTATACTGCTCTACTACATATACATACTTCTAATGAGGAAACACATAGAAGCCAGGCAAGTTAATTTAAGGATCTCTGCAGGTTGAGGAATAAAATCATTTTGTATCACTACTTCATTTCGTAAAATTTAGAATTACATAAATAACAACTTAAAGCATTTATAATCTTAATATTGTGTCAATAACAAATGACAAGTATCCCATGAATAATTTCATGTTTTAGCAAAACTGTGAGTGTAGAAATTAAAAGTCGAATAAAAAATATTAACTCAGGAACCTTTATTCCTACAAAATAATAAATAATAAAACAGTTATGCAGTTCGTCCTATGCGAACAGAATGCTAATTTGAAGTGTTCCTAGTTATAAAACGGGAAATAATTCATGAAATGCTGGTGTCCGATGTGGGCAAAAATTGAGGTCAACAAAATTCAAATATGTTATACCATTAATACATTACTCAATATCTAATTTAATTAATTTAGTAACTAATTTTAACATTTATCAAAAATTATATAAGACAATATTTTCATTTCATGAAAAAATATGTATTACTTTTTAGCCAAAGAACAGCCATTTGACGTTGGTGTTGATTGGAAATAACAGAATGTAACTGTTGAAAAATTTAAATTGTTATTGATCTTTCATGTATGCCATATCACCTGTTAAATGACTAAACTTTCCACACTTTACAGCCTTTCTGTCAAGGATCACAGCTTGCAGCACCAAACGTGTGTAATGTTTATGGTTTGTCACAATAAAGCTGTAAAAGAATCATGTGTCTGTACTTCTGCCTAATTAATTTGAAGGAAAGCTCACTCTGTGAAACCATTTCAATGTCAGAATCTTAATCACTTCCAATGAGCGAACACTGCATGTTAATGTTGAATGTAATTTTACCTATAAAGTTCCATAAAGAGGTCATGCCAGATGCAATGTCCTATTCTTCTGCCTGTAATTAATTATGAAACAATAAAACGCATCCTTTTAAAATTGCTTATCATTTTAACTTTTTTTTACAACTAATACTGTTGCTTCTTAGCTGATTGATAAGATGTCTTGTGCTAAGCAAATTGTTTGACATTGATTCACAAGCTTTGTTAGCTTTATATATTGACATAAATATTAAATATATACCATTACAATTCTAAGGTCCAAAATGTCTTCAAGAGTCTATGTTATCTCCTAAAGATAATATCTGTATAAAAGATTATACATTTCATAATTATATATACACTAGTCACGCCAGAACATCAGATGGTACAAGCATTTCTATGGCAAAATGCATTCCTCAAAAAGAATTAAAACTAAACACAGGATTACAAGCTATATCTGTGCAGGTGACCTTACATCGACCACTAACAATTTGTTCTTCATACCTTCCTCCAAATATAACGGTAACAAGTGATGAACTGCCAAGTATTGTTCGACAATTACCATCACCTTTTCTTTGGTTTGGCGACTTTAATGCTCACAATCCTATGTGGGGCAGTATATCTACAAATAATAAGGGTAACATAACTGAAAAATTGATAGATAACCTTTAGCTTTGTTTATTAAACAATCGGTCACCTACATATTTACATCCAGCTACAGGTACGTTTTCTTGCATCGACCTCTCGATTGTCCACTCATCTATATACTTGGACTTTGATTGGAAAGTTTTAGATGACCAGTAGGGCAGTGATCATTATCCATTGTTACTAACATCAAATGACTCTACACCAGTCGATGGACGTCAATTTTTTAAATTTAAGAAAACAGATTGGGAAACATTTTCTAGGCCCTGTTCTATTGATCTAACACAAAATGAATTTGATCTCACCTTTGATGAAAAAGCTGAAACGTCAACATTGCATACGATTGCCTTCAAAGTTATTCCATTAAAAAAATAATAATAAAAGTAACTAAATAAAAAAACATAATTTAACGATGAATGTTAAAAAAACCGTTCGTATACGTAAAGCTTCACTTAAAAAGTTTAAACATAGCCCTACGACAGAAAACCTTGAAAATATTGAGAATATTTAGAGCCAAAACTAGAAGATCAGTGCGTCAATCTAAACGCTAATCATGGCAATCTTATGTTTCAAATATTAATTCAAATACTCATATTAGGAAAGTCTGGGATGCAGTACTAAAAATAAGTGGTTCACTTTAAAACATATGATGGCCAATATGCCAAAACAAAAACGGATATTGCAGAAACTTTGGCTAAAACGTTTGAAAAGAACTCTTCTTCAATCAATTATTCAAATGAATTTCAACAACATAAATGTAAAGCTGAGAAAGGGCATATTAATTTTACTTCAACATATGACGAAGACAACAATTCCCTTTTCTCTATTGATGACTTAATTTATTCAATCAAAACTGCAAAAGATATTGCTGCAGGCCCAGACGAAATTTATTACCAGTTTCTTAAACATTTACCACCCCAAAATTTGGGTTTCTTGTGAATTTCCTAATACTTGGAAAAATGCGTTTGTTATTCCTATCCCTAAACCAGGAAAAGAGTCAACTGACCCTTCAAATTATCGTCCAATTTCACTAACAAGTTGCCTCTGCAAAACATTCGAGAGAATAATAAATAAAAGGTTAGTTTGCTATTTAGAAAATAATGGAATTATCACTAATTTTCAGTCAGGTTTTCGTAAACAGCGAAGTACAAACGATCATCTTGTACGACTTGAGACTTTTATTAGAGAAACCTTTGTAAATAAACAACACCTGGTATCAATTTTCTTTGATCTTGGGAAGGCTTACGATACTTCTTGGAAATATGTTATCCTAAAAGATCTAAAGGATGCTGGACTAAATGGCAGATTTCCTCTTTTTATTTCTGGATTTATAAACGATAGACACTTTAAAGTAAGACTTGGTTCAACTTTTTCTCCGGACCACCAACAAGAACAAGGTGTTCCTCAATCTGTTACACTTTTTCGCCTTAAAATAAACAACATTGCTAGCGCTCTTACACCAGATATAGACTGTTCTCTATATGTAGATGATATTCTTATCTGCTATCGATCGAAAAGTATGAGAACAATTGAAAGGGAACTTCAACAAAATTTAGATAAAATTCAAAAGTGGGCAACAGAAACTGGTTTTAATTTTTTCAAAGTCAAAAACTCAATGTGTTTATTTTTGTCGATTGCGGAAACAACATAATGACCCTAAACTTTACATATCTGGTTCTAAAATTCCAGTCGTTGAAGAAGCTAAGTTTTTAGGAATTATATTTGATAAAAAAACTTTCTTTTATACCACATATTAAACATTTGAAAACTAAGTGCCTAAAAGCATTAAATTTACTTAAGGTTTTATCAAGTACAAATTGGGGATCAAATTCTTCCACATTACTGAAATTATACAGAAGTCTTATCCGATCAAAATTAGATTATGGTTCTGTAGTATATGGGTCTGCAAGAAAATTATATCTCTAAATGCTAAATACCATACATCACCAGGGTTTACGTTTAGCTTTAGGTGCTTTTCGCACTTCACCTGTAGAAAGTCTATATGCGGAAGCTGGGAAACCATCGCTTCATCTTCGCCGACAAAAGCTATCACTTCAATATGCAACTAGAATTTCATCTGATAGCAAAAATCCAGCTAAAAATATTATTTTCAAATCAAGTTATACTGAAAAATTTGATAACAAACCAAAGGAAATTAAACCGTTAGGCCTTCGTTTAAAAGATGATTTAGATAAACTTAAAATTAATCCAGACAGTATCCTTCAAAATTACGATGAGGATGTTCCACCTTGTACTTATAATTCCCCGGAAATAAATATTAACTATTCAAATATAAAAAGTAATCAAATTCACCTGAATACTTCAAAGAGAAGTTTCTAGCAATTAAGGAAGAACATGAAGATTTTATACATATTTATACGGACGGTTCAAAAGAAGGTTGCAAAGTAGGTGAGACTGTGTTTGAAAATAATTTTACATCTAGTATGAGGTTACCAGATAATGCATCAATGTTTACTGCTGAAGCAAATGCTATCGATTTAGCATTGTCATACATAACACAGCGTACCCACGATAAATCTGTGATATTTTCTGACTAACTTTCTGTTGTAATATCCATAAAAAATAAAAAATCTGACAATATCATGATAAAACTTGATGAAACTTCTTTTACGATTTCATGCTATACTAAAAACAAAATCTGTTAAATTATATTGGATTCCAAGTCATGTAGGTATACGAGGAAATGAAAAAGTAGATGTTTAAGCTAAAGAATCATTAAATTTTAAAAAAAACTGACTTATTGTTACCTGCTTGTGATTTTAGACCGGCTATAAATAAACTCGTATCATCTGAATGGAAAGCAAATTGGGACAATGCCGTTTTTAATAAACTTCACGATATAAACCCATCTCTTGATGTGTCACCATCTCTATCTCTGTCAAACCGCCGTGATCAAGCAGTTCTTCTTTTATGCCGAATTGGACACACTAAAATAACCCACTCTTATCTCTTCACAAATGGCAATGCCTCTTTCTGTGTAGGTTGTAATGAAATTTTTACTGTCAAGCATTTTCTTCTTGAATGTCATGATTTTTCACAGGCCCGTGATAAATTTTATTCTGTGAATTCACTTAAAGAACTATTTAATACAATTCCATCAAAAAACATAATTGATTATTTGAAAGAGATAAACTTGCATTCTAAGATCTAATTTGCTCATTTCTATTGTCATTTACAAAGTTTTACATAACATTTTAAGCCTATTATAGCATCCGTCACGATATGGCCAGTTATGTGTTGACTTGCCGTAAAAATCCAAACAAACAAACAAAAGGTCCTAGATGTTATAGGAAATATAATGTTATCTTTTTTCAAAATGCAATTAATGATTGGAATTGTCAACAGGCAAGAACATATTACTAAGATAGTGAATTACATGAGAAATTCCGACTAAATGGGGCTCTCAATGGGGAAACAGATTTTAATATCATCGTTAATATTATGGAAATTTCGTTTTACCTTTTTTTAAGCATAAAATAAAAAAAATGTGTTTGTTTGTTGTGTAAGATGTAACTCCACTCGTGAGAATACTGTTTTTAAAGCCCACTCGATGAAATAAAATTTCATCTTACACACAAACAAACAAATATCCTTATATATTATAAAATAATGCATATTAGATTTTAAAATAATAAAGAATATCTTGTGTTAATCTGATGATAATCTTATGATAAAAAATGAAAATAACTTGAACTTAGTTTTCAAAGTTTATTTGCAAACACATCTTGATGAACATATTTTATATTTCCAAATAGATTTGTATCTACAGGGCCCATTGAGCCCTAACATAAGATATTAACAGGGTGCACATGTTGTATATGTTGTATATATAGCTTAACCTGGTCGTTATATCATAAATTAGCAATAATAGAAATGAATAATAGAAATGAATAACCATAATCCTAAACGCAGCTTTTGTTTCAAGGATAAAACCCAAAACACCAAAATATTTTTTTCTCTCCTTTGACAGATCAAAGCATAAAAGCGATTGCAAAATAATACATAAATGAAATGCTTCACACTAAGAACAAATTCAAATAACAAAAAATAATCAATACTCATTAACACAATCAATTGCTTGGTCCTCTTTAAAAAAACACATTATACCTTGTGTCAAATAAATATCCATTTAATAAACATATTTATGTATGGCGCATTATTTAATAAATTTCAGATCCGCAGCTCGTCTACATTGCCCAAGATTAAGAAATTGTCCTACATTTTCGTATGATTTTTTAAATCTATTTAGATTGTTAAGTCTACGACATATTTCACAATTCCTGTTTCTTGGCCATCGTAAACTTATAAAACGATCTTTCTTTCTTAAATAATTCTCATATATCTCTCTATCATTGGATACTTCAATAAGGTATTGTACAAGACTTGACACGTTTAAAAAGTCAGCTGTGTTAATAAACGTTTCTTTTGGTAGCAATTTATGGTAGTCTGCACCCCCTCTTACAAGAATAATCCAACTGTGATTATAATTCTGAAAGAATTTTTCTGAGATATAATCATTGCAAATAGAATTTTCAAATGCTAAGAAGTACTTATATCTTGGAATTAATAAATCAAGTTCATTTTTGCTTATCTTTAAACCGTCAGAGCTACAACCGCCATATATATCTACGTCAAATCCATATTTTATCATATTGTTCACGTATAATCTTCTCTCACTCGAAACATGACAATGACTGACTATCCAAAGAGCATTTTTATCTTTGGACTGGAAGATTAAATCATAATTTCGCTTGCTCTCATATGTCTGAAGCAATAAACAACCGTAGGGATTTGGTATGTCTGAATCTAGTCTATATAGCATAGACCAATTGAATGTATTTTTCCATGATGATAGAAAATAGTCTGTATTGTAATAATGTTCTGGTGGTTCATTTGATGTAAAAATCCAAATTTGATTAGGATTTCTTTTTTGCTCTGTTAAAGGTGGTTTTACTCCCATTCTTTTGTTTCGTATACCAATATAAAATATAAGCGCATCAGCAGAATGGACGTATTTGGCATCTTTTGTAAACATACAATTTCTATAATCGCAATTTTTATATAAAAGATCAGTCTTAAGAAAATTGTTCATATATTGTGGTAGATTGTAAAACATGATAATTTTTTTAGAATGGACTTCGTGTTGATCTCCAGTTGACACATCAAACACATTTTGCTCAAAATATAACCGATTTAATTTTTGTTCAGTTATGTCTTTTTTTATCAAAGTAGATTGATTAAGATCCACATCCATCAAATTATGTCCGAAATTGTGTTCTAATGCAAACTTTCTAATCAGAAAAAAGTTAAAACTTATAAGTATGAAGTAAAAACAACAATATCGCGAATGACGCCTCATTTTTTCATTAACAGATGATATCTACGGTTTTAACCTGATTTTAAAACACAATATGATTCAATGATGTTAATTGTAAGATGACGATATTATATCGATGATTTTTGTCCCCTTTTAAAGCATTTTAGAAAATTACTTTCAATAGTCAGTTGTTTATTTTCCATTTAATCGAGCGATTTGTTGATAAAGTACTCAAGTTTCACTCCCTAAGAGAGAGAGAGAGAGAGAGAGAGAGAGAGAGAGAGAGAGAGAGAGAGAGAGAGAGGGGGAGAGAGAGAGAGAGAGATTTGTGAAAAATATTTGCATCTACAAAATGCCTTTCAAAAACATTGCATCCCAAGAAGGATACAAGAACGTAGATGAAAACAATAAATTGGGAAAAATATACAATCATACAGTGCTAAAGAATAAATACCCAAGCACTTTCGGCGTGATATACCTTCATCAGGAGTGTATTACATGTATAGTGTAAACACAATAGAGCACAAAATCTCTATACTTGTGAACTGTACAATATCAAAAAATAAACTGAAACATAGTCGCTAGGAAGGTGATACAATTGCATCGATCATGTAAAGACCATTATTGGAAGGTCACTGTGTTAAACTTTACAAAAGATAATTTAGCTTGCGGACAATATGCATGAACTGGATTCTTAAGAAGAAAAAAAATAGTCTCGTTTATTGATTCCTGATGACTCAAACGTATTCAGTCGGCGAATCCAGTATGTCTCCCAATTTATATATATTTATTTACAGTGTAATTTCTGAAAACCAAACACCTGTTATTTTCACGGGAGAGCTATTGTTCGCGCAGTCATTCACGGGAGGGCTTTTGTCCACCTTGTCATTTTTTGTATTAAATTTTGTTTTCACCTATAACTGAATTTGTTTAAACAAACCCAGAATGTATAATTTTTAGTATATCTCATGTTGTACTAGCTATTTACCTGTACTTGTTTGTTTTTTATCGCATAATACTTCTCAATTTTCCCATTTCAATCAAGCGTTTGACATGCTTGACAGGTTAAGTTTCTAATAAATGATTATGTTGATTGAAAGAGACTGACAGCTGAAAGGTTTTTTTATCTCAATTTTGATATTCATTCACACGTTTTTCTAATTTCAAGATTTTGGATGTTACACTGTATATATTTATTTCATGCATTTCAGTTGATTATTGATTTATCCGTGAAAATTACATTTGATAATTTTACAGTGAAAATTATCAAAATATAATTTCAGACTTTTCAATGACTAAACTACTTTCTTTTAGATTGTCCCCATGTGGTATCTCACTTTTATTTTTGCTGACAATTCTGACATTATTAGGGCTAAAATTGATGAATAACTTAAATAAAAGTAATAAAAAGGAGAAAACTTACATCAATTTATTCAAATTACCAATCACCAGTTATTGTCTGTACATTTTTGTTTAATTTCTACCGTCTGAAAAATACCATTCTTTTCAAGATGCAAAACTGTTCTCTATGACATTTGGGCATAGTTAAGTATCCTACGAGCAATAACTCCAATTCAATATAAAAACTTGAAAAGCAATGGCAGCCATCTGTAAGGTGGACAAATAAACAACCCAGCGTTCGTAAGGCAGCCTTTCAACAATTCCTTGTGTCTCAATTTCCTAGCCGTTTTCGAATATTAAAACTGATGTCAATACTTATTAATTGTCTGTAACAATCATTAAAAAGGTTTTCTTTCCTTTAAAATGATGTATGAGTAACAAATCCAAATAATATCCCTCTGAATCAAACAAAATTATTTTCCTCCCATGAAATACACAACTTTTAAAAATGGGGGCCGCTTACATTTCACAAAGCCAGGTCTATTATAAAGTCGCAGTAAGTAACGGAAACAATCTGCCTAAATTTAGGATCTACCTTTTCTGTTATGTATCTGATTATGGCCTTCTTTATATTTTGGATTTTCCGAGACAGCTATTTGAGCCATTGCAATCAAACCGGTTTTACATAGGCATTAGGAAAAGTATCAAAATACCGTTATCCGTGGAAGCTAAACAAATTATTGATTTTTGTTAAAAAATGTTTTAGGTATTTTCCAACAAACTAACTTAAAATAATAGAGTCATTTTTTAATTTGCAAGATTGTTTTGACAGTTTTTCTGTCGACTGGACAACGGAAAGTTTGTTCTCGAAATCGTGACAATTTCCTACTCAGTATTGTTTTCCAGGTTTAAACTTAGAAACCGCATCGCTTCCAAAATTATGATAGCTCGACGATAATTGGCTAGTTGAAAGATCGCCAGAAATAACTTCGTAATTGGTCACTGTTAGATCTTAAAGCGGAGCGTTATTTAGAGGTAATTTTTATCAGACTTATAACGGAAATAAGGTCGGATGGTGTGATTTTACCTCTACTATAATTGTTTGTTTTCATTATTAAAACAAGCGATCATTCATATTTTTTTGAATAAAATGAATAATATAAACGTCATTTAACGCTTACTGTGGAACTTATTTTTCAGCCCAAGACGTTTTGAATTTTATGACAAATTCGACTAAAATTAGACTACCGGTGAGGAAAACATTTTTAATATTAAAGTAAACATTTAGGAAATTTTGTTTCAACTTGTTTTAAGCATAAAATAAAAAGGAAAATTGTTTGTTTGTTGTGTAAGATGTAATGTGGCGTTTTTAAGCCCACTTGACGAAATAAAATTCAATCTTACACACAAACAAACAAATATACCCTTTATGTTTGATATCTCTATTGATAGATGAATATTAAAATTATAAAAAGAAATATTGTATATAAGAATAAAACGTCCATGAAATACATTAATTAATAATGAGTCGGTATCTTTATTAATACGTCTTGTAATTTTAAAATTTTAGAATATCAAGAAATTATTGCGCACAGAATTCAACGAATTAAACTAGAAATTGAGAAAAAGGTGATACATATATTCAACATTTATGCTCCAAATAACGACGAATTCAATATATAAGAAACCAATCTTGATAATTTTAGTGACGAAATACTACTAGTTGGCGGTTATTTTAATACTGTTTAATCATTTTTTAGATATTAAACGGTAAAAGTGATTCAAATAAACGAACTTATAAAAAGGTTAATGAACTTATTGATATATTTGATGCTTTTATACTACTTAATCCAGAACAAAAACTTTTTACATGGCACTCGCATAATAACCCACGAATATTCTGCAGACTTGACTATTTTCTATTTTCCACTTGTGCTCTTAAGTCTTCCATTAAAACGAGTTATAAATGAAATTATTCTATTGTGATTATGCATCTAAAGTGCATTCATTGTAAAACGGACCCGGGATACTTTAAACTTAACAATTCGTCGCTTTTAGATACCGATTATCAAAATAAAATAAAGCCATCAATACAAGAAATAGTGTCATTTAATGACAAAGATAATTAAACCGTATTATGGGATTTAATTAAAGGTAGAATTAGAGACGTAAAATCATATACGCTAGCATTAAAAAGAAAAATGACTAAGATATGAGCATGAGATCAATTCTAAAATTAGGGATCTGGAAAAAGAAATTGAGTTAAATACAAGTGACAATATTTTGATAGAAAATCGTCAATCTGAAACAGCAAAACTGAATGATCTTATTGAGAAAAGAATTAAAGGCATCCTTCTAAGCAGCAAAGCTGAATGGATGGAATAGTCAGAGAAAAACACAAACTATTTTGCAAACCTTGATAAGAAAAAAGCTGAACAAAAAATAATTAGCCAACTTATAGATAAAAGAAATAACATTGAAACAAATCAAAAACAATATTCTGACTAAGATTTAAGATTTTTATTATCGTTTATATAAAAAAGACTCACACATAGAAGACTGCGAGAATTTTATCTTTTCACCAATGAAATAACATATTATCATTTTTCAGAATATGAATGCTGAGTTGCTCTTAAAGACATGAAAAATAACAAAAGTCTTAGAAGTGACGGTATCCCTGCTGATTTTTACAAAATGTTTTGGAATGATCTAAAACAATTATCTTATCAATTCTCTAAACTACCCTTATGATAACGAAATCTTACGAAACTTCAAAGTATTATTACACAATTTCCAACGAAAGGCAAGACAGATTATCAATGAATAATTGACATCCGATCTCGTTACTAAATGTAGATTTCGAAAATTAAGACAAAAGTAATTGCAATTTTAAAAAAATCCAAATATTATCAGTCCAGAGCAAATATGCTTTATCAAAGGTAGATATATTGGGGAAAATGTTAGAACTTTACAAAAGAAAATCAAATATATCAATAATTAAAATGAAAAAGGACTTATATGTTTTTCTGATTTAAATAAAGCTTTTGATAGGCTTGCCCATAACATGAAAAAAAGCTTATGAAATTTAAATTTCCTTATCATATTATGAAATAGGTTGGCCTTTTTTATAAAGTAGAGAAAAACAGAATCCCTAAAGAATGCCCAACGGGGGAAAATTTAATATTTTGCAGGTTCGGTGTGATTGAGCCTGTTCATTGACGATCCTGAAAACTGCAAGTTACCGTCCACGCCCGCCTAGCACCGGTTGAAAAAGAATTCAACATTTAAACATGGATATGAAAAGATGCTTAATCGTATATACATAATAACGGCCGTCTATCTAGTATCTTTAAGATTGTAAAAGGTGTTAGACAGTGGTATCCTTTACCCCTAACCTTTTATTATTTGTCTAGAACTACACTCAAACGAAGTTACAATAAATAAAGATATCAAAGGCATTAAGATTGGAAGCATCAAACTTAAACAAACTTTTTGGCCGATGATGCAAGTTTTATAACCGATGGAGAAAAAAATCGTTTCTAAACTAATTGCACAACTTAAAAAAAAATCAAATATATCAGGCCTTAAATTGAATAAATGTACTATTTTTTAACTTGGAAGTTTAAAAAAATACTCAAATCAATTTCCACAATGACAATAATTTTAACTGGAAATCTGAAAAAGCTCGCACGCTCGGTATAACTTTCACTTATAACATAAACGAAATGCTTAATGCTAATTTAACACCAAAATTTAAAGATCAATATTTATTTCTTTTTTATTTATTTATTTTTTTTTAAAAAAATAACTGATCTTAAAACTTTTGCAATGCCAAACTTACAATTTTACATAATCCAGACCAATATATCATAAATAAAATAAAAAAAAGTCTCATGTTAAACTTCTTGTGGGACAACAAACCAGACGAAATATCAAGAGATAAGATTATTCAATAAAACCAACATGGGGGCTTAAAATGTTAGACATTGAAAGTTTTATATACATTCCTTAAAATGTTCTTGGGTTAAACGCAATAAATTGCAGCAACACTCAAAATAGGTTAAAGTATATGAAAATTTGTTTGATAAATATGGAAAACAATTTATATTTAAATGTATTCTAAACATAAAAGATTTTGAAAATTTTGATATTACATCTAGATTTTTAAAGGATGTACTCAGTGCTTGTTCGTATTCAAACTTCAATGAAGAAATAATTGATCTTGGTAAAGAAATTATATGAAACAACGCGAATATAAAATTATATAACAAACCATTTGTTTTCTGTGAATAAATAAAAAAGAGTATAATCTTTATCAAACACATATACGATTATAGGGAAAAGCAATTTTATAACTTTAACGAAATTCAAACATAGCCCAATCTGCACAATTTTCATAGATATGAACTTACTTTACAGAGACCCATTGCTGAAAAGAAAGGTCGATGTCCATAACAACAAGTGGAGCATATTCACATCATAAAACACACGCTACTGACTGGAGTCTATTAAATATTATTTACACACTTCCAATGAAACGT